AAGATGAGTGGACTTCAACTCCCAGAATTCCCCAGCCAGCAGTCCACTCATCTTAAAGTGGCCAAGTTTGGACAACACTGGTCTAAGGCATTAGTGTCCAACCAACCTGACCATTTACCCTGATGGCTGAGGAATGATGGGAATTGCAGACCAGCACATTTGGTGAGCACTATGTTGGTAAGGTCCCCTAAAAACATCCAGAAATGAAACCAGTCTTCCTTGTGGGACTGATAGAGATTAAAATGAAGGGGAGATCTCCACAATAAATACTATCCCCACGTTTTTGAGGGAGAAGCAGCAGACACTTCTTCTAGGTTAAGGAAAGAAGTTTAAAAGGCATATAGTAACTCTAATTTGATACTAACATAATATGAACTGTGATTTATATGTAAGCATGTTACGCACACTGCTACCTTGTCTTTTAAAAAGTTGTAAGATAAGGGTTGCAATAAGTGGAAGAAAACAAAACAAAATAGTATCTGACATATGATGTGCTTCAAATATATGAATGCCATGTGTTGAAATGGTAGCACAAAGATAAATACAGTTGACTAAATCAAACAGGAACATATTTGAAATAAGTGTGCATAGTAGCATATGCAGGCTGGGGGTGATGGGTACTGTAGTGGTTCTTTTTGCTCCGTGTATCTGGAGGGCCCCATACGCAGGATCATCAAACATCTCTCATCTCCTTTCAATGCAATTGGTAAGAAAGAGTAGTAATAGAAGAGAAGCACGGATTCTGTACGTCCCATTGACACGGACATGCATATCTGAAATGCATAGAATGATAACCGAAAGACGACCAAATGTTTAAAACCGAAATATATTCCTCGGGTGAAGCTGCGAATAAATTCAAAGCAAAACCAGCCCTTGGTGAGTGGCTTGCTGGTGGGAGGAGTTCCCATGGCAATAGAGAGAGGTGGCATGACTGATATCAGCCGCGTCCCCCAAAGAAGGCTGAGCAGGACCCAATGAGGGGGTCCGGGCGAGGAGACCACGCCAGCGCCCTCCTCCCGTCCCCGCAACGCTGCGAGGCGAACTACCGCCCGCACTGCAAAGCCGCAGCCCAGTGCAGCACCATTCCCCTATTGACAGCTCCTGGTAGCGGGAGGAGGCGGGCGGGCGGGGGAGGATGGGAGCCACCGGCCAACCAAACCTGGAAAGTGCTCGAGGCTATACCCTCCTCCTGCTCTCCAGATCGAACTGCGACTCTGATTGGTTAGTTCTGGCTATCAATCAGGCTATCCAGCCGGCTAGCTAAATGGGTGGGTTAGGCTGAGGGATTTGCTCTTCAGCCTCGGCAGGAACGGCGGAAAGTCGGTTCTTTTTGCATGCGCGGGGGAAGTAAGTAAGCGACGACTGGCCGTCGCGTTAAAAGAAAAGAGGAAGAGATGCCCTCAGCGGGAGAGAATTTCCAGCCATGCAGGACGCTCAGATCAAGATCGCTCTCCCGCTTTCCTAAGCAGTGAGTAGCCTGTAAAAGAAGGGAGGGGAGCGCTAGCAAATGCACACTGTTTACTCGCGCGTCATCCTCCCAGTCAGATCCCAGCCAGCCAGCTCTTTCCCAGTTGCAGTTTTAACTCAGGCAGCCAAAGTTGGGTGGCGGCGGCGGCGGCGGGTCGTGTCTTGTTGTCCAGCGCAGTGAGTTGGATGGAATGTTTTTCTTCCCAGCTCCTCCCCGTACAGTAGTCTGCTCACCTCCCTCCGGATCACAGGTGAAAATGAACTTCAGTTTTCTGGGATGAACTGACCTGGTCCTCCCCGCCCCCGTTTCTCTTCCCTTCCCTCCTGTTTCTTCTCTGCAATGCTTTGAAAAAGCAAGAACCAGAGGCTGACGTCTCGCCCAGCATGAAGAGGTGCAAATCAGATGAGCTGCAGCAGTTAGACGGAGACTCTGCTGGGACAGAAGATGCCCTCCTCCTGCCTACCATGGACGCCAAGCTTGGGGATTCGGCTACTGCTCTGGCGGATTTGGGTGTCTCCAATCCAAATCCAGCTCCCCATCCTGTTACCCGAAGCAAACCTCCTGATTTAAAGGTATTTGCAAAATGCTTTGTCTCTGGCTGGACTAGAGTTGGAATCCCCAGCTGGGAGATGTATAAATTACTGACAGTGCAAAAATGTCACAGGTGCTACATTTGCAAATGGTTATCTTTAAAGTCAACCTAGTCATTAGAACTATCCGACTTGTCTGACAAGTTCTTAGTGTTGAGTTTTCTTGCGTTCATCATGTATGTTCGTGTTAAGTAATAGACTTCCTTCAGTTAGTTGTTTTGCAACATAATACAAATGAAATATATTCTATTGCTGGTGCAGTGGTTGGGGAATCTGATTTGATCAGATTCAATGACATTTTAAGTTGCTATTTCACACAATCATTTTTACCTATGTCCTGTATATCTTTAGGCTGCAGTTCCATACCTGAGAATAAAACCCAGTAAGCCCCTTGGCACTTATATTTAAACAGACACTGTTACACAGTTGTATTGTTGGATGACAGGTAATAGTCATAGCTGACTCCAATTCTGTCTAGTAATTCCTTGACTGCTGTTCATTCTGTATAGAGAGTAAACACCAATTACTATATGAAATTTTAATTCAGCAACATCAGATTTAGTGAAAATTTAGACAGCTTTCCTATGGCTATTAGTCAAAATTATTTAGAATGCAGCTTCATCCTCAGGTTTGCTAGACATCAGTAATGACTATCAAAAGATGTTGATCTTAATAGCAGACATTATTACAATAGGATACTGAATATAAATAGGTCAGTGGAATTGACCAAGTGTGGCTATGATTATCTTTCTTTATTATGGAGTATGATTTGATGAACCTGGTATAATTTAGCCACACAACTGCAAAATATACTCAAGGAAATGTTGACTGATTATAAACTATAATCTTATTCCCACAGGTAAATGCTGTGACATACTTTCTCCTAAGAATGGTTCACATTAATGGTTGTGTGATAGTGAAATTTGTATGGATTATTTATTACTTTTGGAGTTTAAGATGTTCCCAAAAGAATTTTCCAGAAGGGTCCTTATGTAAGGACTAAGTATTATTTGTTAACCTATTTGGTAAACTGGTTTGAATTATATAAAAGTTATAGGTTACAAATAGAATGAAGTTGCAACAGAAGTTTGTCTACTCATTTGACTACTCACTTGTAACAATAAAACTCCCCTTCAAGTAACCAGGCATGAAAGCTTTTATAAGTTAGAAGAGCATTCCTGTTGCTTTTCTTTTAGACTGTAATGAGCCGTAAATGACTTGTTCCAGGGCACAGCCAGATGGCTGCATTATGGTGCTATTCCTGAACTGGCAGAAAACTAGGCCAGCATAAATTGTGCTGCCCTGACTGCTGAACCTTATTCGGTCTCAGGAAAGAAGCAGTCAGTGGTGGTTTTAATGCAGGACAGGTTAATGAAAATGATTGCTGGATTCCCCTAACTACTTTTCCCCTTCCACTGAGCATCACCTCTGGGAGTAGAGATGGGGATCTCTGCCAATCACTTTTCTTATGGTAGGTTAGGGCTGGGAAGCGTAGCAGACGAAGAGTTTAGCTGTCTTTCAAATTGCCTGAGTAGCTCCCTTCCACCCTACCTCGTGCCTCCTGTGTGCCTGTGATCTGTAGCATGGAGGAGATGGACACAAGGTGAAGCAATAAGGAACGATTAATAGCAAGCATTCTCAACTAGTGATGCAAGGGAAGGTTATTGGTGACAGAATGTAGAAATAACCTGTGGAGTGGTCAAAATGGCACTTTCCCCCCCCCCCC